CACATACAGGTTTTTGTGTACTAAGCGGCCCCTGCTTAGGTGTGGGAGTAGAGCATTAGCATTATCTGAAAGATCGTGCTAACACATATTCATCTGCTCACAGGATAAACATATAAAGTTTCCCAGATTCCCTTCTCATGGATGTGGTGAAGGGCAGGACCTTGCTGACTGGAGTAACACTGGCTCAGATCCTGGAGTCGGTCCCCGAGCGCCACATGGTGGATGCTCCTAGTACTTGTGATGGAGGTCAAATACAGAGAATCAATTTCTCTGAAGAGGGCTCAGTGAAGGATAACTTTCCTGAAGCCTGAATGCGGGTTACTGATTCCTTTAATCACACAAAGCCAGATAACAAAGCTTGCTAAAGTCAGTTTGAACTCAGTGGTTTTCCTCTCCACTGGAGTTGTTAGTTAAAACCAAACGAGTTGTTCATTATGAAGAGAAACCAGAGAAAATACTGTCAAAGTCTGGGGTCGTCCCAGCCACTACACTCGTGGTTGGTCTCTCTCTTATTGCCGACCAAGAACCAGACCAGACCATCCCCATACTATCACAGCCTCCTTTCAGTCCTGTTGCAGAGAACAGACACTGATGAGCCAATTACACCAAAGCTGAGGTTAGTTAGACATCTGCAGTAAAAGTTGTATTTAAGTTGTGGCTTTAAAACCTGAATCATCAGCACTGTGTGAGATTTACCAGGACCATCTGACTGTCAACCAATCAAAAGCTGTGAATTATTCACGAGGTGGTGCAGTACCACAGATCAAACTACTGGGGGCGCTGTGTTGATACACAGATCATACACAATGTCTGGTAATTGTGGACTAGAAGGACTTTCTCTAAAGCTCTCTAGCTCTGAAGAAACACTTAACACACCTGCTAATACAAAATGTCCACCTATTGTCATATCAAATGTCCACTTGATTCACAAAAACCAACACTCATGCAAGCACACACACACACACATATCCTCTGTGTGTGTGTGTGTGTGTGTGTGGAGGCTGAGGACCAGTTAAGAGAAGGTATTTGGCAGCAGGTGTGTATAATGAAATAATAAGTGAGGTTAATGACGTAGATTGAGGTATATAATTATATCAGCAGAATTACTAACAGTGTTTTTAAAAGGTGCTATATGAATAAAGTTGTTATTTATTACTATTAGTTATGTGTTTTTAACTTACAATACACCTTCAGAATAATCTGTGTATTTTTATCGAGTGAGGAATTTAAACGTATCGCAGGGATCAATATACGATCAATATACGATCAATATACGAGGAGTTCGGCTCTTTAGGTGAAGCTCTTCCTCCATGTTGGACTAATTAAAGCACTTGTTTAAGATTATTTCATTTCCTGCTGTTCTCTTTGTGCTGACAGTGTATTTATTGTTGGACATTAATCATTCATGTGTTCAGTCTCCTCCCACCTCCGAACACGGGTGCATAAATACTGTGGTGGTTTTTCATTTTGTTTGTTGTTCTGTTTTATTGTGGATTTTCTGTATTTTATTTTTTATTTTAATGTTTGTTCAGCTGCTGCTTCTCTCAAAGAGACTTCCTGGTAAAATAAAGGT